CTGGAGATTGCAAAGTGACCTGAGAGGGATGAAATCTGCGATCCCGAGGCCAGTTTTTGTGAACAGCCAGTATGCTAATTGGTCAGGTGTGTGCTGGGCTTTTATTAGGAACCTGACCATGTTTTGGGCTCCACACCAGCAGTCAGAGGAGGTCACTGCCAGGAGTCAGGAGGGCTCCGTGTGGGAGCAGCAAGGGGCTGTAAATTATGTGCACAGAGTTGTCTATTAAGACTGTCTGTTGGAGGCAAAGGGCCTAAAGGGTAAGGTGAGAGTAGGAGTGCTGCAGGTGTAAGCCTGGAGGCTGAATGTATATTTTCTTTGGATAGAAACATAGAAAAGTGATGGCAGAAAAAGACAGAGTGGTCCATCGAGTCTGTCCATTTTTTGGGGGAGGGGGGGGTGGGTTTTTTTTGTTTGTTTTGGGGTTTTTTTTTATTTTGTTTTTTTTTGTGTTAACTTTGTTCTCTGATTATAGGTCTTACTGTTGACTAGGCTCACTACCTCTGCTGAAAGTTTTATTCCAAGCATCAACTACTCTTTCAGTAAAATAGTACTTTTCTGAGATTAGCTTTGAACTTTCCTCCAGTTGGTTTAAATTCATGTCCCCGTGTTCTTGATTTTGGTTTCATGTTGAAAAAACTGCCCTCCTGAACCTTATTCACCTTTTTGATGTAATTAAAGGTTTTGATTCATGCCTCCTCTTTCCCTTCTTTCCTCCAGACTGTACTTGTTAAGTTCCTGAAGTCACTCTTGACGTGTTTTATCCCCCAGACATTTCACCATTTTTGTTACCTGTCTCTGGATTCGTTCTGTCTTATCAATAACTTTTGGTAATGAGGTCTCCAGAACTGGACACAGTATTCTAAATGAGGTTCTAACTAAAGACCTATAGAGGGGCAATCAGGACCTCCTTCCTCCTGCTGGTGATCCCTCTAGTGATGCATCCTAGAATTCTATTCACTTTCCCCACTGCCTGGCCACACAGTTTTCCTCATTTTGCAATCATCTGAAATAAGTACCCCCAAGTCCTTTTCCTCTGAAGTGTTTGTACTCTCTCAAGGCTGGAACGATGGAAATGCTAAAAACCCCTGTGAGGGAAACTCATTTTTTTTCTTTTTTGGAAGTCTCTGTTGAACTTTGTATTAATAAAATTGTGGGAAATTCGTCATCAGACACTGAAAACGATTTTTGCGACTAAGCTCAGTGATGTGCGAACTTGGCGCTCTATTTCAAATTTCAGTGTTTTTGGTTTCATTACATTATTGAATTAAATTTATTATTATTATATTATTTTTTTATGATTATTTATTTATTATTATAATTTATGATTTTCGTGTTTCAAATTTTTATCTTACCCGTGATGTTTACTAGACTCTTGTTCGGAACAGATTTCAGTGAGTTATTCCTAAAAATTACAGGCCTACAATAAAAAAATGACATATTTCCATGCAAAAAAATGTACCGCTTTGAGCACAGAAATATTGACATAATCATACCACTAGGGAGGTTAATGGCTGCACTATAAGCTTAGGGCAATATTGAAGGAAAAAAAAAGCACCATTTTTATTTGTGTCCATACAGTCAGGTCCATAAATATTGGGACATCGACACAATTCTGACATTTTTGGCTCTATACACCACCACAATAAGGATTTGAAATGAAACAAACAAGATGTGCTTTAACTGCAGACTGTCAGCTTTAATTTGAGGGTATTTACATCCAAATCAGGTGAACAGTGTAGGAATTACAACAGTTTGCATATGTGCCTCCCACTTGTTAAGGGGCCAAAAGTAATGGGACAATTGGCTTCTCAGCTGTTCCAAGGCCAGGTTTGTGTTATTCCCCTCATTATCCCAATTGCAATGAGCAGATAAAAGGTCCAGAGTTCATTTTAAGTGTGCTATTTTGCATTTGGAATCTGTTGCTGTCAACTCTCAAGATGAGATCCAAAGAGCTGTCACTATTAGTGAAGCAAGCCATCATTAGGCTGAAAAAACAAAACAAACCCATCAGAGAGATAGCAAAAACATTAGGCGTGGCCAAAACAACTGTTTGGAACATTCTTAAAAAGAAGGAATGCACCGGTGAGCTCAGCAACACCAAAAGACCCGGAAGACCATGGAAAACAACTGTGGTGGATGACCGAAGAATTCTTTCCCTGGTGAAGAAAACACCCTTCACAACAGTTGGCCAGATCAAGAACACTCTCCAGGGAGGTAGGTGTATGTGTGTCAAAGTCAACAATCAAGAGAAGACTTCACCAGAGTGAATACAGAGGGTTCACCACAAAGATGGAAACCATTGGTGAGCCTCAAAAACAGGAAGGCCAGATTAGAGTTTGCCAAACGACATCTAAAAAAGCCTTCACAGTTCTGGAAACAACATCCTATGGACGATGAGACTAAGATCAACTTGTACCAGAGTGATGGAAGAGAAGAGTATGGGGAAGGAAAGGAACTGCTCATGATCCTAAGCATACCACCTCATCAGTGAAGCATGGTGGTGGTAGTGTCATGGCGTGGGCATGTATGGCTGCCAATGGAAACTGGTTCTCTTGTATTTATTGATGATGTGACTGCTGACAAAAGCAGCAGGATGAATTCTGAAGTGTTTGGGCAATATTATCTGCTCATATTCAGCCAAATGCTTCAGAACTCATTGGACGCCGCTTCACAGTGCAGATGGACAATGACCCAAAGCATACTGCAAAAGCAACCAAAGAGTTTTTAAGGGAAAGAAGTGGAATGTTATGCAATGGCCAAGTCAATCACCTGACCTGAATCCGATTGAGCATGCATTTTCACTTGCTGAAGACAAAACTGAAGGGAAAATGCCCCAAGAACAAGCAGGAACTGAAGACAGTTGCAGTAGAGGCCTGGCAGAGCATCACCAGGGATGAAACCCAGCATCTGGTGATGTCTATGCGTTCCAGACTTCAGGCTGTAATTGACTGCAAAGGATTTGCAACCAAGTATTAAAAAGTGAAAGTTTGATTTATGATTATTATTCTGTCCCATTACTTTTGGCCCCTTAAGAAGTGGGAGGCACATATGCAAAACTGTTGTAATTCCTACACTGTTTCACTTGATTTGGATGTAAATACCCTCAAATTAAAGCTGACAGTCTGCAGTTAAAGCACATCTTGTTCGTTTCATTTCAAATCCATTGTGGTGGGTGTATAGAGCCAAAAATGTCAGAATTGCGTCGATGTCCCAATATTTATGGACCTGGCTGTATGTGGTATGGCAACAGGGCTTGGAATATGAAATACAGGATCCACTGATGCAGCAAATTTCAAGAGTTTTGGTGCATCGAAATTGATAGGTATGAACAGACTCTTAAAAAATGTGTAATATTAGGACACTTCTAATGTGAAAAAGATCATATTGAAGTGATAACCAGTGCCAGATTCATACCAGGAGCCCACTGGCATAAATGCTGTAGTCCCTTAAGCCTTATCATTAATTTAGCTAAACAAAACCACTTTATATACAGAATGAGCGCGGATTGGCATTTTCAGACTCTTACAAAAATCTGGAGAGCACCAGCGGATTTATAGTGGCATGCGTGCCTAATAACGTCACCTGGATGAGTATATAGGTGACATATGTCTGTTTTATTTGGGCTATTGAGATAATCCAAAAAAGAAAAAATAATGTTTACCAATACTAATTTGAGGGTATTTACATCTAAAATCAGGTGAACGGTGTAGGAATTACAACAGTTTGCATATGTGCCTCCCACTTGTTAAGGGGCCAAAAGTAATGGGACAGAATAATAATCATAAATCAAACTTTCACTTTTTAATACTTGGTTGCAAATCCTTTGCAGTCAATTACAGCCTGAAGTCTGGAACGCATAGACATCACCAGACGCTGGGTTTCATCCCTGGTGATGCTCTGCCAGGCCTCTACTGCAACTGTCTTCAGTTCCTGCTTGTTCTTGGGGCATTTTCCCTTCAGCCCTTGTATTCAGCAAGTGAAATGCATGCTCAATCGGATTCAGGTCAGGTGATTAACTTGGCCATTGCATAACATTCCACTTCTTTCCCTTAAAAAACTCTTTGGTTGCTTTTGCAGTATGCTTTGGGGTCATTGTCCATCTGCACTGTGAAGCGGCGTCCAGTGAGTTGTGAAGCATTTGGCTGAATATGAGCAGATAATATTCCCCGAAACACTTCAGAATTCATCCTGGTGAAGTCTTCTCTTGATTGTTGACTTTGACACACATACACCTACCTCCTGGAGAGTGTTCTTGATCTGGCCAACTGTTGTGAAGGTGTTTTCTTCACCAGGGAAAGAATTTCTTCGCTCATCCACCACAGTTGTTTCCTGTGGTCTTCTGGGTCTTTTGGTGTTTCTGAGCTCACCGGTGCATTCCTTCTTTTTAAGAATGTTCCAAACAGTTTTGTTTTGGCCACGCCTAACATTTTTGCTATCTCTCTGATGGGTTTGTTTTGTTTTGTTTTTTTTCAGCCTAATGATGGCTTGCTTCACTGATAGTGACAGCTCTTTGGATCTCATCTTGAAAGTTGGCAGCAACAGATTCCAAATGCAAATAGCATACTTGAAATGAACTCTGGACCTTTTATCTGCTCATTGTAATTGGGATAATGAGGAAACATCACACACCTGGCCTTGGAACAGCTGAGAAGCCAATTGTCCCATTACTTTTGGTCCCTTAAACAAGTGAGAGGCACATATGCAAACTGTTGTAATTCCTACACCGTTCACCTGATTTGGATGTAAATACCCTCAAATTAAAGCTGACAGTCTGCAGTTAAAGCACATCTTGTTCGTTTAATTTCAAATCCATTGTGGTTGTGTATAGAGCCAAAAATGTTAGCATTGTGTCCATGTCCCAATATTTATGGACCTGACTGTATATACATACACACACACTATATTGCTAAAAGCATTGGGACACCCCTCCAAATCATTGGATTCAGGTGTTCCAATCACCTCCATGGCCACAGGTGTATAAAATCAAACACCTAGATATGCAGACTGCTTCTACAAACATTTATGAAAAAATAGGTCGCTCTCAGGAGCTCAGTGAATTCATGCTTGGTACTGTGATAGGTTGCCACCTGTGCAATAAGTCCATCCATGAAATTTCTTTGCTACTAAATATTCCACAGTCAACTGTTAGTGGTATTATAACAAAGTGGAAGCAACTGGGAACAACAGAAACACAGCCACAAAGTAAGAAGGCCACGTAAAATGACAGAACAGGGTCAGTGCATGCTGATGCGCACAGTGCGCAGAAGTCACCAACTGCCTGCAGACTCAACAGCTAAAGACTTCCAAACTTCGTGTGGCCTTCAGATTTGCCCAACAAAAATGCATAGAGAGTTTCATGGCATGGGTTTCCATGGCCGAGCAGCTGCATACAAGCCTTACATCACCAAGTGCAATGCAAAGCGTCGGATGCAGTGGTGTAAAGCACGCCACCACTGAACTCTAGAGCAGTGGAGATGTGTTCTCTGGAGTGATGGATCACGCTTCTCTGTCTGGCAATTCGCTGGACTTGTCCGGGTTTGGAGGTTGCCCAGAGAACGAAACTTGCCTGACTGCATTGTGTCAAGTCTTGTCTGGGGGATGGGGGAATATGGTGTGGCATTGTTTTTCAGGGGTTGGGCTTGGCCCCTTAGTTCCAGTGAAGGGAACTCTTAAGGTGTCAGCATATTAAGACATTTTAGACAATTTCATTTTCCCAACTTTGTGGGAACAGTTTGGAGAAGACCCCTTCCTGTTCCTACATGACTGCGCACCAGTGCACAAAGCAAGGTCCATAAAGACATAGATGAGCTAGATTGGGGTGGAGGAACTTAACTGGCCTGCACAGAGTCCTGACCTCAACCCGAGAGAACACCTTTGGGGACGAATTAGAGCAGAAACTGTGAGCCAGGCCTTTTCGTCCGATAGCAGTGCCTTACCTCACAAATGAGCTTCTGGAAGAATGGTCAAGCATTCCCATAGACACACTCCAAAACCTTGGGAACCTTCTACCCAGAAGAGTTGAAGCTGTTATAGCTGCAAAGGGTGGGCCAACTCATATTAAACCCTATGGACTAAGAGTGGAATGCCATTAAAGATCATGTGTATGTAAAGGCAGGTGTCCCTATACTTTTGGCAATATAGTGTGTGTGTATGTATATATATATATATATATATATATATATAAAATATATTGTAGAAGGCGCCAAGGATATGTCATGGAGGGGCGTTTATTTTTGTCCTTTTTGAGAGGTTCTCAGCCCTAGCTAAGAGATTTTAGGGAAATGCCAACAAGAGGGGAAATTGGTTAGCAGCTTCTCCTGTGTTTTTTAGTTTGTTTTGGATCCCTGGAGTCTAGAGACTTTAAAAGTTAATGGTGGGGATGAGTCTTCAACCTCTCACCCCAGGAGACGAAGGGTTAATGACCTCATCTGGGAGGAGAGGTATGTTAAGGGCGTAGCCCTCACCTAGCAAGGGGGGGGTGGCTGTGTTAGCTATGTGTAGGAAGACACATGACTGAGGAACAGTGTCTGCTCCTAAACTGCTGAGCCATTTTTGGCCGGAGTGGCTAAGCGTTGTGTTTGACTCTCAAAGAAAGGCGAGCACACAGTCCTGGAGTAACAGTGCGGTGGAATGACCTACTCTGTGGATGGAGGTAAGCCACAAAGATTATTTTTGTGTGAAGGACTATTATCCCGCTGCTCAGACAGTTTTATTTCTTTTTTTTTGCTGCCAGAAAGCTCTTTTTGATATACAATTGTGCCAATGCCATGTGAAATAAAAATTGCAACTACCACTATTTTATTCTCCAGGGTCACTGGCTCCAAGTAATATAGTACTATGTACAATCAGTCCATTTGCGCTTAGCTCAGGCATGCAGACGGGTGTGTGCTTAGCTGGGAAAACCCCTCCTGAAGACTCCTGGGATGCATGACATCATCTTCCTGCCTAGAGTTTGCATGTTCTCTCTGTGCCTGCGTGGGTTTCCTCTGGGTACTCCGGTTTCCTCCCACACTCCAAAGACATGCTGGTAGGTTAATTGGCTCCTGTCTAAATTGGCCCTAGTATGTGTATGAATGTAAGTTGGGGACCTTAGATTGTACACCCCTTGAGGGTTAGGGACAGATGTGAATGTACAATTTATATGTAAAGCGCTGCGTAAATTGATGGCGCTATATAATTACCTGAAATAAATAAATAATAAATCTTCCTAGGTTTGGTAACCAGGAAGTAACTGAAGACATGTAAAAAAAAAGGTTTAAAACAAGTAAATATGTTATACTTTCCTATCTATTTACTAATACTAGAAGCATAGGGATTAAATATGTTTCAAGAAAGTATAAGCAAAAAAATAATAGCACCCACATATGACTGGGTTGTATTGCTGTAAGTAGTGCATTGGCTTCTATGTGTTTATGGTCTTAAGGGGGAGTGGCCCAGCAGGGGGCTGAGTATACCTGTGGCAGGTATGAGGGGCTCTGCCCTGAATCATGAGGGTTCTTACTCCAGGAAGGGAGGAAGAGGATGGAGAAGTGAGGGACCAGAAAAAGGATTGGACAGAACATTAGCTGATCACTGTCTGTAGAGCATCACATGACCAGAGGCTGACCACCTTACCCCCCTTCCTCTCACAGCGCATGTCCATAACCACCTCCTCCTTTCCAGTGCAAATAGCTCCACTGTTCCTTAAGTGTCCTCTTTGGTGGCTCTACACTTCACTCCACTCTGACAATCAACTCGGCTGTGAATTAATGAACTACAAGTCCTGATAACCTTATCGCCTTAGCGGCTGTTGGCTTGTAGTTCTCAATGAACTACCATGGTGCTGTGGAGTTCTGTGGTAGTTCATTGGATATTCCTGTCATTATTCTGCTTGCCTGTACATCCCGTACGGGCAAACAGATATACTGACTGGTCTGCAGGAGACCTTCATGGCACCAGCGATCTTCTGATCGCTGGTGCAGTTCTTTACAGACTCCTGCAACCAAAAATAATAAATGCACATTTTTTTACTTTAAAAAGTGCATTTATTATTTTTGATCAAAAGGTGAACTTGTCCTTTAAAGGAGAACTCTGGGTAAAAACTTATTTACATGTCCTTGTTGCTGATTTCCTACCTTCACTGAATATGTCATCCATCTTCTGGCTCTGAAATAGCCTATTCATCTTCAAATCAAACTGTTAATTCTCTTTGGTTTCCTGTTTGTGAGACTAGTGGCTGCTATGTCTCCTATTCTCCCAGCCACTTGTCTTGGCACATCCCTTCTGTAGTTCTGTTTTCCAGGAAACAGTGGTGGGCAGACAGAGACTCTCAGACACATTCAACATGTACAGGCCTTGTGCACCTGCCCACATTCACTACAATTCTCTGTGGATGATAGGAACTGTAGTTTACTTTTACTGCAGAGAGAGGAGAGAATATGATGTAATCCCCACTCGTACACCTCCTCCTTGGAGGACCAGATGCTGTTATCTTTGAATTGCAAAGATGAGTTAATGAAAATTCAATTAGACTTTTCTCCTAAATGGTAAGGAATTTCAAAATAGTATTAACTGTTTAGTGTTTGGGATGTACTAATGGGTGTTTTTTTTCTCTGGGTTCTTTAAACTTTTTCTTTACTGTTGTTTGAATTTGCTGCATTTGATTATGCACAAGGCTGTGCCCAAAGTTTGTATCATGCCAACTAAGCAAATTATGGAAAAAGTCCTATGCCTTTTTACATTGGCCCCTTGGACTCCAGTTCCTCCTGAACAACCCAGACCAATAAAGAGATTGTTCAGATATGCATTATATATTCATATCATGTACTTTCTTCTGCAATATTTTTGTTTTTCATATTATCTAGGGAAATTAATTACTGCTGCACGTTTCTAGACATCAAAAAATTATTATTAGTTGCATCTAATAGCAAGTTTTTATACCAGCATGTGAGCAGATTCCCTGTTCTTGTTCCACAAATCTCCACTGGAGTTGCTAGTTTTTATGTTAACCTGGTTAATTCTTGTATGAGCTGTTTAGGTAAAATGCTTAATAAAAAATGACTGGACCCCAGACAACTGTTTTTATTGTATGCGTGTGGTATTGGATTCTGTTCTACCCCTGTTCCAGGAGACTCTTATTTTTCTGTTCACAATAAAGCACATAATAGCCTGGATTATCTAAATTGTAGGTGATAACAGATGGGGAAGAAGTGAATGATGAAGATATAGGACACCCACATGTGTATTAGTTTCATATGAATTATTTCTTGTGGTCTGATGAAAACTAAATAGAGAAGACAAGAATGTGATGAATAGCCAGCGTGTGAAAGATTACAACAAATGGTGAACAGTTTAGAGATGTGCACAGATATAGAGAAATGCCAGTTGCACCCTATACCTTTCTTCATATTGCAGCATCTATAATTTAGAGGATCTTTTCTCCATCTGTGCAACTAAAGTGTAAAAAAAAACTGTAAGTAAGTAGGCTTTCCAGAAGAGACATGCTATGCCTCTTCTGCAATAAAACAAACTTACCTGCCTGATCACAGTCTTCTTTAGAATGTACACAGAGAAGCACATTCTCGGCACAGTACCAGGGTGATGGGACGAATTAACGCCTTTGAATGTGCAAGAGTTAGGTTATCTCGCAAATGCTCCCTAATGGGTCACAAGCAAATAATTTACTTAAGCGGTTTTAACAATTCTCTATTCTGTCCCACACTAAAAAAAATAATTTTACTAAGCATATTCTTTAGGGTGCTGTTACTGTATGTCACTTCTTATGGTTTAAATAATGGTTACATTTCAACAGACGTTGTGATTAATGCTGAAGTCTAGCCTTACCTTTTAATTTACATACTGTAGTTGTATAGGCTTTTCTCTTGTACTGAACTTGCTTACTTTGATTTCACTGCACACTGTAAGCTTCTCATAGTGTGCATTAAAAGCTGCAGCAAGTCAGATAAAGCCTGCCTTCTTTTCTGGCTGAAGGATATCTAGCACCATCTAGCCATTTCCTCCCCAGGCTTAATGTGCTTGGTCCACCTGTTTCAGTTTTTTTCAATTGTGGAGGCTCATCATTACTTGCAGGAATTACCTATAGCTTTCTGGTGTGAAGAAGCTATGCGTAGCACTCTGCCGGTCCTTTCGACCAGCCATTATCTGTCTACATTGCATAGGGAAGTGCAGTGACCTAGTGATGATGTCACCAGGTCTAACATAAGGTATGTAATGAAGACCAAAAGATTTTCTTTATTAATTTCATTAGATTGTTGATACACAGATGAACCTGGGAACACAAAATATAAGCAAATTAAACTTCAGATTAAATAATACATATTGCATTTATGTTATATATGTAAACATCAAAGAACAGAGAGTTTTCTATATTTAAGGTTGAATTGAGTATTCATGCAGATGAAAAATGCATGCAAGTGTTTTATCATTGCTGAGGACGTAGATGAATGAAGTTCATATTTTAACAAG